GCCTTTGCAACTGTGTAGGCTTCACCTGTGGGCAACGGAGAGCCTTAACACTGTGCTGCGGGGAAAGAATATTAACTCCTCGGCACGCACGACCCTTTTCAATTCTCCGGAGTACTTTGCCCAACTTCTCAGGTACGTTAAAAAATTCTAAAGACTTTTTCTTGGCCTCTAATTGGGGAGACCAGACACAAGGAGACGGGAGTGCATACCACGCAGGCGTGGCAAGGAGGGGTGGCCAAGACGGTGGTGCCAGAGGAGAGTCTGGTGCGTGAAGAGACGACACGAACAAGACGAAGCAACCTCAACCGACGCAGCTACCTGACCTGACTCAGCTACCAATGCAGACTCAGTGGTCAGTGTGTACAGGCCAGATCCAAGCCTCCGAGTGAACGTGGCAAGGTGCTCACCAGTGCGCGAGTCCGTACAGATCGCCATTAGCTCGCCTCCAGGCTGGGTGACAGTGACCCACTGGTCTTGGAGGACAGAGGTAGCCACCAAGTTCTTAGCGAACGAGGGGAGGTGGAGACCCGTGAGGAGGCCGGAAGGGGCCGCCGAACAAGGGAGAACAGTGGTGCCACGCACGACTACCGGGCCCCTAGAGGGGTCCGCCAGTGTGACAGGGACAGGCACTGTGAGCGGTGTGACTATGGTGCTATCGCGGAAGAAGCAAAGAGACGCACCTGAGTCGAGAGTAAAAGTGTGCAAGGCCTCCTCAGGCTCTGCCTTTGCGCTAGCTGAGTCACACGCATGGAGACTAATAGCCTTTATGCCACCAGGTGTCTCTACACCCCCAGTACGAGTACCCCAAAAACCTCCGCCACCGGGGCTGCCCAACCGGACAGCCCACTCACGAAGCCGCTGCAGGGAGAGAGTCTCTAGCGGACGCTGCTGCTGCTGCTGTCCACCCCCAGAACCTCCGCGTCTACTAGTGGCACTACCAGCAGGAGTAGACTCACAGGTACCTCCAGTAGTAGCACCCCACCGGACAGCCCACTCACGACGTTGCTGTGGCGAAAGCGGCTTCCGCCGACGAGCACGGCTAGCTCCGCCACCAGGGCTGCTCCACCAGATAGCCCACTCGCGAAGCTGCTGCGGCGAGAGAGACTCTTGTGCACTCGGCTACCGCTGACGTATGACAGTGATGGTGGCCATGGTAGGCAGTGTCAGTCAGCAGCAGCGGCGCAAGGTGGAAAGTAGCTACTGCAGTGGCGAAAGCAGGGACGGCAGGTGAAGTGGCAGCAGTGGTAGGAGTAGTAGCGGTAGCAACTGTAGGAGCGTGCGCAGGCGGTAGCGGCAGTTGGCGGTACGCGCGGGGCAGGGCAGGAGCGCGCAGGCAGCGCGAGCACGTAGGGCAGGTCAGTGCTGGGCAGCGTGCAGGGCAGCGCTAGAGCGGACAGTGGCGCGCTGCTGGGCAGCGCGCTGGGCAGCGTGCAGGGCAGTGCTAGCGCAGACAGGGTGCGTGGCGCGCTGGCAGGGCAGCGCGCGTGGCGCAGGCAGGGCAGGGCGCGTGGCGCGCTGGCAGGGCAGGGCGCTGGCATGGGCAGGGCAGGGCGCGTGGCGCGCTGGCAGGGCAGGGCGCTGCCGCGGGCAGGGCAGGGCGCTGGCGTGAGGCGCAGGCAGGGCAGGGCACGTGGCGCGGTGGCAGGGCAGGGCGCTTGGCGCAGGCAGAGCAGGGCGCGTGGCGTGCTGGCAGGGCAAGGCGCGTGGCGCAGCCAGGGCAGGGCGCGTGGCGCAGGCAGAGCACGCGCGGGCAGGGCGGCGCTGGGCAGCAGTGGGGCGCGACGCGCGGGCTGCAGCAGGGCGCGACGCGCGGGGCAGCAGGGTGCGACGCGTGGGCTGCAGGGCGCGACGCATGGGCAGCAGTGGGGTGCGACGCATGGGCAGCAGTGGGGCGCGACGCGTGGGCTGCAGCAGGGCGCGAGGTGTGGACTAGCAGGGCGTGACATGCGGGCTGCAGCAGGGCGCGACGTGCGGGCAGGCAAGGTGGCGCGGCAGCCAGGCAGGGCAGCAGGGCGCGCATGGGCAGGGCAGCACGCTGGGCAGGAGGGCAGAAAAAAAAGTTTACGTGGCCGGGCAGGGCGGAACGTTCGGTGGGCCCTAGGGAACGAACCTACTCTAATACCATGTCAGAATAAGGAAAGAGGAATGATCGACTAAAGCAGGATGAGTGGTACAAGTAGCAACCCTGACAAAGGGTTGTACCCCATAGGGAGTGACCTACTATAGCCTAACATCACTAACATGACATAAACATGTTTTGACATGATGATGTGCAACTCATACCATTTTGATGATGTGCAACTCATACCATTTTGATGATGTGCAACTCATACAATTTTAATTATGTGCAGCTCATACCGTGATCTCCCGCCTAGAAGATCCGGGAGTCTTATCCCAAATGTGCTCAAAATGTGTTGTGGGGTCTTCTCTGATGGCATAGAGTGGATAAGACCCCTGGATTGTAAAGACCAGTATTGAAGAATTTCAATAGATATTTTTTTCGAATTCGAGTACAGCTCAAAACGGGGAATCCTATCGCCACTCTCGCTTCGCGCACATCAATCTTTGCTACGCGTCACATGTCCTGTAATGCCCAATTGTGACAGGTACGTCAGCATTTCTCGCGTGACGGGCGGCAAAAGTTCATGATCGATGTGGCATCATGATTCATGACTCCATTGACCACGAATTTGCCCCACAATGTGAATTTGGTGTTTTTTTTTTTTGTGCAATCCTACGGTTTGCATTCGGCTTGTTGCCCGTGTGCGTGCATGCGTGTGTACATGGAATGGTATGAGAGCATGAGATAATATATATTTCATGCTTACAATATTGTGTGAATGATGAGGCATGAATTTTTTTTTAATGTGTGTGTTGAGTCAATAGCGAGTTATCGCTAGTCGCGTGTCACGTCGTCGTTTGCGTGTCGTGTGCGTTTTTTATTTTGTCGTGTGTGGAACGTTCGGCGTGTCGCAGGTGTGCGCAGCAGACTTCCAAGAACTCAAGGAAGAATTTATTTTGAAGAAACAGAGCCTTGGTTTCAAGATTCAAGTGATTTCGAAGCTCTCCAAAAGGGTAAACTTTAAGATAGTGAGAATAGTTGCATTTCTTTGTGTAGTGTAACATTTCTCTTGGTGTAGGCCCTTGTGGAGGGTAGTTTCGAGACCCTTCGTGGTTGGGGAGAGTGTGGCACTATTCCACATCACTGTACCTCGGCTCTTGGGGTTTGTAGGAGCTGTGAGTCATTCCCAACTCGTAACTCTTCCTAATTTGTGTTCTAAGTCTATAGTGGCTGCCATAGTGCCGTTCGTTCAAACCAACGTTGCGTCCTCAATACTTGCTGGAATCGTGTGATTTAAATTTCTTATTGTAGAAGACATCAAGACGCTCCAGATCCATTTTAAAGCAAGTCATTTGAAGCTGTGAACAGAACGCTATTAACACTTGAAGTCGCTGAGCAGAAATCCGACTGTGCACTCTATCTTTCGTTTTAGGCACATTCAAGCCTATTGTGACTAAAACATTTTTCTTGTGACTCGCTAAGCAGCTCACCGGTTAAACACCACCCATGCAAAAGAGGGGGGGTCTTATAATGAATTGGTCTTATAATCGGACGGACATAACAAAAGACCTCTGGTCCGGATCAAGGCCCAAATTACAGGAGGGGTGAGTGGGCAGCCAAGTAGGGCAGGGTATTTTTGAGAATTCTCAAATGTACTAGAGAAGCCAGACGAGAATGGCCTCAGGATGGCATGCCTTCTATAAGGTCCATCACCAGTAGGCGCCTGGGATTGACAGGGGAAGACGAGTGGCATGGGGAAGAAAAGGGAGGAGTGGAAAGCAGGCACAGGGAAAAAGGGCGTAAGGGATCCCATCAGCGTACCGTACGCCCCTCGATGGTGCCCAATGCCCATCAACAATCAGCGTTTGGGATTGACAAGAAAAGAGGGTGTGCATGGAGATGGAAAGGGTGTTAGAATCTCTATGTATATCATGCTAAGTATAAAGGGGTTGGGGCTACACCCAACTTTGGGTGTAGCTTGCTTTGTAGGTCTACACCCAACTTTGGGGTGTAGACTTGCAAGTTGGGGTGCCAATCCAACCCATAAGTGTTGGAGCCCCCAAATGCAAGTTGGGTGCCCCCTCCTTGCAACCCACAAGTTGGGTGCCCCCTCCTTGCAACCAACAAAGTCCTTGTTGCAAGTTGGGTGCCCCCTCTTTGCAAGTTGGCATAGGGGCTTGCCAACCACCCAACTCCCCCTCTTTCTCTTCCAAGCTCCTCTTGCATCCAATCTCCCCACTCTATGTATACCCTCTTTTGACCTAATCAATTCAATGGTTCACTTTACAACTTTCACAAAGGGATCGGTGCAAAGTGGGCTGGAAAGTCATAAGTTGGAAAGTGGAGCTGATTCGCAGGACGCTAGTGAAGTGAGGAAGATTGGGAGCAATAGTAAATAGGAGAGCGGAGGAGGGGAGCAGCAGCGGCGGAAGAAAGGCAATAAGCCACTTGAGTGTCTAGGCATCATCAACAGCACATCATCTCTATCTGCTAACAGATGATGGTCATGTGGAGAGCAAATGTATGAGGCGTCAGCATAAGCAGCAGCATTACCTAGTAACAAGGCCTGGTATGGCTGCCGGCACAATGACAGGTGACGCCCGTGTATCCACCTCCCCACTCCTCCCACCATCTTCAACCCCATGTCGACCTCCATGTCCTGCCTTTGTCCCCACATGAGCCACACTACCTACCCTACCCACCCTCTCCATCCTATCTGCCCTATCCGCCTTGCTAACCCCTCCACGGCCCACACCACTTCTGCCAGCGCGCCTACTGCTCTGCATTCCCCCGTGCCTCTCCTGCCTCTCGCCCCTTGCGGGCTGTGCCAGGGCATTTCTGATTCGCTCCATGGCTGCTGCCTCGTGCTCAAAGTGAAACTCATACCGAACCTGCAACACAGGGAGAGAACAGCAGTTGACTAGTTAAGGTCTTTCTATCATGCCTGCTCCTCTGCCTCCTCCACATTTAACGGGACGTGCCTGATTCGCTCCATGGCTGCTGCCTCGTGCTCCAAGACAAACTCGTACCGAATCTGATGCAAGAGGGACGAGGGACGAGGGAACAAGGAAAAGGGCAGCACATATCTTAATGCCTTTGAGCCATTTCCGAGATTCGGCACATCTAAACTGTTCACGGCTGGTGCGTCATGCTCAAAGTCAAACTCGTACCGGATCTGCACCACAGGGGAAAGGCAGGAATGAATTAAGGTCTTTCTGTTATGCCTGCTCCTCCTGCCTCCCCCTTGCCATCTCGCTCCCTTGTGGCCGTGCCAGTGCGTGCCTGATTCGTTCAAATTTGTACCGAATTTGATGGGAAGAGGGAAGAGGGCAGCAACTGAGGGTCATGTGTCATTCGAAAGGATGCAGAAACTGAGGGTTGGAATTGGCACCAGAAGCAATGGAGTGTGATATACCTGCCGAGGGGATGCACATACCTGCTGCTCCAGCTCAGAGATGGGACCTTGCAGGTCAACCTGCGCTGCAGGAAGGCCCCAAAGAGATGCAGATGTAGGGGGCGGGAGAGAGCACCACACTGTTACTGGGGTGACAATGCACCCTGCACAGTGCACGCACCTGCTGCTCCAGCTCAGATATGGGACCTAGCAGGTCCACTTTGAGCTCGGCGCGCTGTAGGAAGCAGCATGCGCAAGAAACAGTGCACCCTGCGCCCTGCACGCTGCATTGAGCATCACCCACGCACCTGCTGCTCCAGCTCGGAAATGGGTCCCAGCAGGTCAACTTTGAGATCGGCGCACTGCAGGAAGGCCCCAAAGAAGACGCAGATTGGTCAGGTCCATGAGCATCAGGCGCTCTGCTCCCGCACGCTGCACCTGAGGTGCGAGCAAAAAGGGGGGTTGAGGAGGTTGAGGAGGATGAGGAGGGACAAGAGAGCAACGAGGTGCAGTTAGGTCCATGGGCATTGAAAGCAGTGGGCGGAACAGCCACTCTGTGCTCACGAGGTAAACTTTTGAGTCGACTCAAAAGTCAACTCGTAATAGCCACTCTGTGCTCATGAGGTAAATCAGCTTCCGGCAAAGACCGGAACAATGAGGTGTAGATAGCTGCATAAGAGATGCAAGGAGTGGGTGAGGAGGGAAGCATGCCTTATTTCTCACAGGATGCCATGCCATACCATCACGTGTATGCCCTGCCCTCATGCCCCACAAGCACACTCCTGTCTGACAGCCCTCTCAAATCTGCCTGCTTGCTCACCTTGATAGCCACGCGGCGCCCATCCTTCAGCCTGCCCCTGTGCGCCTGCTTTGCTAGCCCTCCACCCCCCCATCACACACACACACACACAAAAACAGAGGCACAGTGCAGAGGGGAAACAAAGACTAAGAATTGAGTAGGAGCCGAATAGAAAGGGCAGCTCAGGGGCAGTGTAGAATGCAACAAGCATTTAGCCACAACACCTACCGACAATGTAATATGCCATTACACATTCTGCTCCATTCCGTTCTCCCTTCCATCCCCATCCCCCTCATCCGCCCTCATCCCCCTCGTCCTCCCCCCATCCTCCCTTGAATGAATATTATGGAGAGCGTAGCAATAGCGAGAGAGTTTCTGATATGAGAATGGTGTTGCGCCAGCAACTCGGTAGCGTTTAAGTAGCGTTCGTCTCCAAGGACTTAGTGAGAATTCAAGTAGCAATTGGACTTCACAAGAAATGTAATATGATCCATGAATACAAAAGCAAACACACATGCAAATATAGGCAAGCAAGGGTTGCACAAATGTTGCGTGGCGCTTCGGTGTAACCCAACCCCATGAAAGTGGTGTGCGGGTGGGTGAACGCGCCCCGCCGAACTTCCATCCAACTCAGCAGCGAAATGACTTCCGTGCACGCCACTCCAGTAAACACTGCAAGGAGTGGCGTGACTCTCAAAGAAGCACACCTAGCTCCCAAGACTCACGCCACCCTGCACCGATTCTCAAGCAGCTGCTAGCAGTTGCACCCGATCAATACGAAACCGTCATTACACCGTCGCGTCGGTGCCGAACAGCTAGGAGTCTTGGTCGTTAGTCGCCATCTTGCCGAATCAAGGTCGTCAAGGGCCCTTGCTGTCGTAGGGCCCTCTAACATCCCTTTCTTTCACGTTGACCTGGGCAATGGATGCAGACCCAACCGGCTCCTCCTCAAACTTGGCAAACACGTCTTCCAGCCGCACCCGTGCCACGTCAGCAGCAGTTGCCACGTCACCCCCTGTCACGTCAGCGCATGCCAGCTCAGCCTCAACAGTTCGTCAGACGAGAGGGAAGGGGTCCAGGGGCGCATTGTCGTGGAGAGGGGCGAGACGACGCAACCAAGCTGGGGGGGACATGTCTGGCTTTGCTAGGAACTGGCCTGCCTGGTGGGGAGAGGAGGGTGTGGGGGGAAAGGGGATATTATGGTTGGGGGCTTCGGGTTTAGGAACATGTCTGGCTTGGCTAGGAACTGGCCTGCCTGGTGGGTGGAAGAGAAGAGGAGAGATTGGTAGGGGACGAGTGAGGAGAGGAGAGATTGGTAGGGGACGAGTGAAGAGAGGAGAGATTGGTAGGGGACGAGTGAGGAGAGGAGAGATTGATAGGGGACGAGTAAGGAGAGGAGAGATTGGTAGGGGACGAGTGAGGAGAGGAGAGATTGGTAGGGGACGAGAAAGGAGAGGAGAGATTGGTAGGGGATGAGTGAGGAGAGGAGAGATTGGTAGGGGACGAGTGAGGAGAGGAGAGATTGATAGGGGACGAGTGAGGAGAGGAGAGATTGATAGGGGACGAGTGAGGAGAGGAGAGATTGATAGGGGACGAGTGAGGAGAGGAGAGATTGGTAGGGGACGAGTGAGGAGAGGAGAGATTGGTAAGGGGACGAGTGAGGAGAGGAGAGATTGATAGGGGACGAGTGAGGAGAGGAGAGATTGGTAGGGGACGAGTGAAGAGAGGAGAGATTGGTAGGGGACGAGTGAGGAGAGGAGAGATTGGTAGGGGACGAGTGAGGAGAGGAGAGATTGGTAGGGGACGAGTGAGGAGAGGAGAGATTGGTAGGGGACGAGTGAGGAGAGGAGGGATTGGTAGGTGACGAGTGAGGAGAGGAGAGATTGGTAGGGGACGAGTGAGGAGAGGAGAGATTGGTAGGGGACGAGTGAGGAGAGGAGATGAAATCGCACCCATGCAGCGGGGGACATGACTGGCTTGGCTAGGAATTACCCTGCCTGGAGAGAGAAAGAGAGAGAGAGAAAGAGGGGGAGAAGAATAGGGATAGGGATGAATGAAGAGGAAAGGACAATGCGCTCAGGCAGGGGGAGACATGTCTGGCCTGGCAAGGAACTGGCCTGCCGAGTGGGGATAGTTGACAGAGAAGGGAGAGGGAGAGAAGAGATAGGCATGAATGAAGAGTGGAGATGAGATTGCTTCATGCAGGAAGGCACATGCCTGGCTTGGCTAGAAACTACCCTGCCTGGTGAGGGAAAAACGGAAGGTGAGGAACACAGAAGGGAGGAGGCGTGGAGAAGAACATGGCTTGGACCGATGGGGGGACATGTCTGGCTTAACTTGGACCAATGGGGGGACATGTCTGGCTTGGCTTGGACCGATGGGGGGACATGTCTGGCTTGGCTTGGACCGATGGGGGGACATGTCTGGCTTGGCTTGGACCGATGTGGGGACATGTCTGGCTTGGCTTGGACCGATGTGGGGACATGTCTGGCTTGGCTTGGACCGATGTGGGGACATGTCTGGCTTGGCTTGGACCGATGGGGGGACATGTCTGGCTCGGCTTGGACCGATGGGGGGACATGTCTGGCGTGGCTTGGACCGATGGGGGGACATGTCTGGCTTGGCTTGGACCGATGTGGGGACATGTCTGGCTTGGCTTGGACCGATGTGGGGACATGTCTGGCTTGGCTTGGACCGATGTGGGGACATGTCTGGCTTGGCTTGGACCGATGGGGGGACATGTCTGGCTTGGCTTGGACCGATAGGGGGACATGTCTGTCTTGGCTTGGACCAATGGGGGGACATGTCTGGCTTGGCTTGGACCGATCAGGGGACATGTCTTGCTTGGCTTGGACCGATGTGGGGACATGTCTGGCTTGGCTTGGACCGATCAGGGGACATGTCTGGCTTGGCTTGGACCGATGGGGGGACATGTCTGGCGTGGCTTGGACCGATGGGGGGACATGTCTGGCTTGGCTTGGACCGATGGGGGGACATGTCTGGCTTGGCTTGGACCGATGTGGGGACATGTTTGGCTTGGCTTGGACCGATGTGGGGACATGTCTGGCTTGGCTTGGACCGATGTGGGGACATGTCTGGCTTGGCTTGGACCGATGTGGGGACATGTCTGGCTTGGCTTGGACCGATGTGGGGACATGTCTGGCTTGGCTTGGACCGATGTGGGGACATGTCTGGCTTGGCTTGGACCGATGTGGGGACATGTCTGGCTTGGCTTGGACCGATGGGGGGACATGTCTGGCTTGGCTTGGACCGATAGGGGGACATGTCTGGCTTGGCTTGGACCAATGGGGGGACATGTCTGGCTTGGCTTGGACCGATCAGGGGACATGTCTTGCTTGGCTTGGACCGATGTGGGGACATGTCTGGCTTGGCTTGGACCGATCAGGGGACATGTCTGGCTTGGCTTGGACCGATGGGGGGACATGTCTGGCGTGGCTTGGACCGATGGGGGGACATGTCTGGCTTGGCATGGACCGATGGGGGGACATGTCTGGCTTGGCTTGGACTGATGTGGGGACATGTTTGGCTTGGCTTGGACCGATGTGGGGACATGTCTGGCTTGGCTTGGACCGATGTGGGGACATGTCTGGCTTGGCTTGGACCGATGTGGGGACATGTCTGGCTTGGCTTGGACCGATGTGGGGACATGTCTGGCTTGGCTTGGACCGATGGAGGGACATGTCTGGCTTGGCTTGGACCGATGGGGGGACATGTCTGGCTTGGCTTGGACCGATAGGGGGACATGTCTGGCTTGGCTTGGACCAATGGGGGGACATGTCTGGCTTGGCTTGGACCGATCAGGGGACATGTCTTGCTTGGCTTGGACCGATGTGGGGACATGTCTGGCTTGGCTTGGACCGATCAGGGGACATGTCTGGCTTGGCTTGGACCGATGTGGGGACATGTCTGGCTTGGCTTGGACCGATGTGGGGACATGTCTGGCTAGGCTTGGACCGATGGAGGGACATGTCTGGCTTGGCTTGGACCGATCAGGGGACATGTCTTGCTTGGCTTGGACCGATGGAGGGACATGTCTGGCTTGGCTTGGACCGATAGGGGGACATGTCTGGCTTGGCTTGGACCAATGGGGGGACATGTCTGGCTTGGCTTGGACCGATCAGGGGACATGTCTTGCTTGGCTTGGACCGATGGGGGGACATGTCTGGCTTGGCTTGGACCGATGGGGGGACATGTCTGGCTCGGCTTGGACCGATGGGGGGACATGTCTGGCTTGGCTTGGACCGATGGGGGGACATGTCTGGCTTGGCTTGGACCGATGTGGGGACATGTCTGGCTTGGCTTGGACCGATAGTAGGACATGTCTGGCTTGGCTTGGACCAATGGGGGGACATGTCTGGCTTGGCTTGGACCGATGGAGGGACATGTCTGGCTTGGCTTGGACCGATGGGGGGACATGTCTGGCTTGGCTTGGACCGATGGAGGGACATGTTTGGCGTGGCTTGGACCGATGGGGGAACATGTCTGGCTTGGCTTGGACCGATTGGGGGACATGTCAGGAGTGGCTTGGACCGATGGGGGGACATGTCTGGCTTGGCTTGGACCGATGGGGGGACATGTCTGGCGTGGCTTGGACCGATGGGGGAACATGTCTGGCTTGGCTTGGACCGATGAGGGGACATGTCTTGCTTGGCTGGGACCGATGGGGGGACATGTCTGGCGATGCTTGGACCGATGTGGGGACATGTCTGGCTTGGCTTGGACCGATCAGGGGACATGTCTGGCTTGGCTTGGACCGATGGGGGGACATGTCTGGCGTGGCTTGGACCGATGGGGGGACATGTCTGGCTTGGCTTGGACCGATGGGGGGACATGTCTGGCTTGGCTTGGACCGATGTGGGGACATGTTTGGCTTGGCTTGGACCGATGTGGGGACATGTCTGGCTTGGCTTGGACCGATGTGGGGACATGTCTGGCTTGGCTTGGACCGATGTGGGGACATGTCTGGCTTGGCTTGGACCGATGTGGGGACATGTCTGGCTTGGCTTGGACCGATGTGGGGACATGTCTGGCTTGGCTTGGACCGATGTGGGGACATGTCTGGCTTGGCTTGGACCGATGGGGGGACATGTCTGGCTTGGCTTGGACCGATAGGGGGACATGTCTGGCTTGGCTTGGACCAATGGGGGGACATGTCTGGCTTGGCTTGGACCGATCAGGGGACATGTCTTGCTTGGCTTGGACCGATGTGGGGACATGTCTGGCTTGGCTTGGACCGATCAGGGGACATGTCTGGCTTGGCTTGGACCGATGGGGGGACATGTCTGGCGTGGCTTGGACCGATGGGGGGACATGTCTGGCTTGGCATGGACCGATGGGGGGACATGTCTGGCTTGGCTTGGACTGATGTGGGGACATGTTTGGCTTGGCTTGGACCGATGTGGGGACATGTCTGGCTTGGCTTGGACTGATGTGGGGACATGTCTGGCTTGGCTTGGACCGATGTGGGGACATGTCTGGCTTGGCTTGGACCGATGTGGGGACATGTCTGGCTTGGCTTGGACCGATGGAGGGACATGTCTGGCTTGGCTTGGACCGATGGGGGGACATGTCTGGCTTGGCTTGGACCGATAGGGGGACATGTCTGGCTTGGCTTGGACCAATGGGGGGACATGTCTGGCTTGGCTTGGACCGATCAGGGGACATGTCTTGCTTGGCTTGGACCGATGTGGGGACATGTCTGGCTTGGCTTGGACCGATCAGGGGACATGTCTGGCTTGGCTTGGACCGATGTGGGGACATGTCTGGCTTGGCTTGGACCGATGTGGGGACATGTCTGGCTAGGCTTGGACCGATGGAGGGACATGTCTGGCTTGGCTTGGACCGATCAGGGGACATGTCTTGCTTGGCTTGGACCGATGGGGGGACATGTCTGGCTTGGCTTGGACCGATAGGGGGACATGTCTGGCTTGGCTTGGACCAATGGGGGGACATGTCTGGCTTGGCTTGGACCGATCAGGGGACATGTCTTGCTTGGCTTGGACCGATGGGGGGACATGTCTGGCTTGGCTTGGACCGATGGGGGGACATGTCTGGCTCGGCTTGGACCGATGGGGGGACATGTCTGGCTTGGCTTGGACCGATGGGGGGACATGTCTGGCTTGGCTTGGACCGATGTGGGGACATGTCTGGCTTGGCTTGGACCGATAGTAGGACATGTCTGGCTTGGCTTGGACCAATGGGGGGACATGTCTGGCTTGGCTTGGACCGATGGAGGGACATGTCTGGCTTGGCTTGGACCGATGGGGGGACATGTCTGGCTTGGCTTGGACTGATGGAGGGACATGTCTGGCGTGGCTTGGACCGATGGGGGAACATGTCTGGCTTGGCTTGGACCGATTGGGGGACATGTCAGGAGTGGCTTGGACCGATGGGGGGACATGTCTGGCTTGGCTTGGACCGATGGGGGGACATGTCTGGCGTGGCTTGGACCGATGGGGGAACATGTCTGGCTTGGCTTGGACCGATGAGGGGACATGTCTTGCTTGGCTGGGACCGATTGGGGGACATGTCTGGCGATGCTTGGACCGATGGGGGAACATGTCTGGCTTGGCTTGGACCAATGGGGGGACATGTCTGGCTTGGCTTGGACCGATGGGGGGACATGTCTGGCATGGCTTGGACCGATCAGGGGACATGTCTTGCTTGGCTTGGACCGATGGGAGGACATGTCTGGCTTGGCTTGGACCGATGGGGGGACATGTCTAGCTTGGATTGGACCGATGGGGGGACATGTCTTGCTTGGCTTGGACTAATGGGGAGACATGTCTGACGTGGCTTGGACCGATGGGGGGACATGTCTGGCGTGGATTGGACCGATGGGGGGACATGTCTGGCTTGGCTTTGACCGATGGGGGGACATGTCTGGCGTGGCTTGGACCAATGGGGGGACATGTCTGGCATGGATTGGACCGATGGGGGGACATGTCTGGCTTGGCTTGGACCGATGGGGGGAAATGTCTAGCTTGGCTTGGACCGATGTGGGGACATGTCTGGCTTGGCTTGGACCGATGGGGGGACATGTCTGGCTTGGCTTGGACCGATGGAGGGACATGTCTGGCGTGGCTTGGACCGATGGGGGAACATGTCTGGCTTGGCTTGGACCGATTGGGGGACATGTCAGGAGTGGCTTGGACCGATTGGGGGACATGTCTGGCGATGCTTGGACCGATGGGGGAACATGTCTGGCTTGGCTTGGACCAATGGGGGGACATGTCTGGCTTGGCTTGGACCGATGAGGGGACATGTCTTGCTTGGCTTGGACCGATCAGGGGACATGTCTTGCTTGGCTTGGACCGATGGGAGGACATGTCTGGCT